CCGTCCACTCCGCCACCCCCTACTTCGGCCTCAAAGACGCCCTCTACGAGGTCAACGGCACCCTCACCGCGTCCCCGGGCCTCGAGCTCATGACCCAAATCCTCGGCGCCCCCGTCACGCCCCGCAGCTGGGCCAACATACTCACCCTCGTCGGCCTCCTCCTCCTCGCCACCGCCGCCGCCGCCCAGCTCGCCCTCCGCCGCCCCAGCAACCGCGCCCGCGCCGCCCGCCTCCGCGGCACCACCGACCCCGGCCTGCGCGGCACCGTCTGGACCGTCCTCCGCGTCTTCCTCACCTACTTCCTCACCCCCGTGGCCGCGTGGTCAACCTACCAGCTCACGGCCGCGGCCTTCCTGCCCCTCTACCACACCGTGCTCACAGCCCTCGTCGTGGCCCTGCTGGTGGCCGCGCTGTGGTGGGGCGTGACGCAGAACTCGCCGCGGAACATGGGCTACCTTCTCCTCGACGCGTCCAAGACGCCGCAGACGCCGGGCAGGTTGTCGCGCAGCCAGGACCGGTACGCCATGGCCATGTTCGCGCTGATGTTCGTCCGCGGCGCGGCGGTGGGCGGGCTGCAGATGGCGGGGGCCGGGGTGGTGCAGGTGCTTGTGCTGGCGGCGTGCGAGGTTGTGCAGCTGCTTGTGATGGGCTTCACGTGGCGGTGCGTGCCGGTTTTGAGGGTCGGCGGGGCGCTGAGCGCGGCGCGGTTGGTTGTTTTGGGGATCTTTGTGGGATTTCTGCCGGGTGTTGTTGGGGAGGTGAGGACGAGGAATGTGCTGGGGTTGGTGGTGCTGGGTGTTCATGCGGTGGTTTTGGTGGGTGTGTTTGTGGTGCCGGGGTTGGTTAGGGTTGGGATTTTGATGGCGAGGACGTGGGATGTGGTGAGGGCGGAGAAGAAAAGTGAGAGGGATGGGCTTGAGGTGAGGATTTTGAACTGCGCTGGATATGGACTGTGCTAACTTGTGTAGGAGTATCGTCTTCGTCGACTTGATACAGGAATCGTTCCCGAAACACATCCCGATTCTATTGTCGTATCCGAACGCCCACGATGCCCATCGAGTCTCCTCATGTCTCCCATCTCAACCGCGCCTCTCCGGAAGAGCGTGAGGGATGACGAGGCAAGTTTCAGGGGACATAGACTTTCGTTATCCATTTCGAGCAACGAGTCTTCTGGGAGCTCTGTTGGAGAGGAGAGACATTCCGAGGAAGTCGGAGGGGAGGTTGAGGATCTAGGCTCGCCGGGCTTTGTGTATGAGGCGAGGGTTGAGAAGAGGTTCTCTAGGGCTTCGGTGTTGAATTACTCCAGGCCCTTGGATGGACAGCCGCAGACTCCTTGAGGTTGAACTGTTGGGTGATCACCTGAGTTATTCAGGGCCAGAACTCGTAACTTATCATTCTTGAAGTTTTCTCGGGCGGACTATATGCTACCGCCGTGCTTAAGTCGTGCGTCAAGAACCAAATGATTAAGCACACAGAATTCGCCATGGTTTCAATGGGCTATGTCTACAAGTTTCGGATTCCGAAAGAAAACGACACGAAGCTGAAAAGGTGGGGGGTAGTGATCGATGAGATGGGAAAGCATTGACGTCAATGAATACTATTATCAAAGACGAAGAAGGTTCTTTAAGATAGCTATGGCTCTGTAGTTATCCATGCCTGAAAACCAAAACTTAGGTATGGTCCCTTTCACATACCAAAATTCTTAGGGTCGTCGCATAATATTTTTTCTCGTCGTCGAACCAATTGTCATCGCCCCGGTTCTCCAAAGCCTCCTGTCGAGCGCCCACGTCTTCCAGCTCACTCACGAAGCTAAACACATCATCGTCGCAACCGGGATCATCTTCGGCGTCGTAACCACAAAATTGAGAGGCATAATGCTCAGGCATGGCGTAGTACCTACAGCCAGCCGCGTGAAAGACTAGCTGCTCATTTTTTCACGATCTATAGCGCCTAAAAACCATTTCCGTCATGTGTTCGTCGAGAACCGTGCTCTTGCGTCGAAGACGATGGTCCACGAGCCATACCGTCGGGTTCGAGAAATAGTACATTTCTCGTGTAGCCTCAACCAAACAGTCGTACATCTCCCAACGAAGATCGTCCAACGCGTCTTCTTCGGTGTGCTCTTCAAAGTTCATACTGCGCTCCCGCCCCAACCGATATCTTCCAAGCTCCTCAAGGCTCCACGATGGATCAAAGTCCATGGCGACGTGGCGGATCCCACCGAAGCCGAACTACGGAGACGAAAAAGGCATGTATCGAATTAACGTCCTCCAATCCGCTCGGGTTTCCTGCGGTGAGAGATGTATGAGATCGTGCCCGGGTAAGATAGTCAAAGATTGGGTTCTCCCGTCGGACTCAACATTGAAGGTTGCCGGCATTTGCTCATTTTTCGAGCCGCTAGTTATTATCGAAGCATAAAGATCTATCTGATTGTTGTCGTAATGCTTGCGTCGTCTTTTCCGAAGGCCGAGCCATTCCTCCGGCCTGTAGCGTCGATACATCGCCGAGCGCGACTCTTTGCATGCGGTCCAAAGTCCTGCATCGATAGCATAGGTCGACCGGTTGGCGTCGTACCAGGACGGGCAAGATGTCTCGTTTCCTACTAAGGGGGCTGCAAGAATTTGGTTCTGATTCTCTGAGGTCCGGCTGATGGTGTGTCGTTTGAATGCTTCTGGAATCAGTCTGGTGTTTTCCCACGCGTCCAAAGCTGAGAAGTATTGGACTCCGCGGGCGCCGATGGGACGTGTTGAGAAGTCCCAGATCTGATCTCGAATCTCGCCCGGGAGGAGGGAAAAGGAAGAGAAACTTCCTCCAGCCATGTCTGCTGTGGAGATTTTGATATCCTTCCCGATGGTGTTATGGCGTTTGAGGTCAGAATCGTTGGTTCACCTTATGTGCTAATCGGTTCAATGAATCTTTGCGATAAGTGATGGTTCGAAATTCGATGTCAACGTCGCTGAAGAACGAAAGAAGATTTTGACCACAACAGCAAATTACAAGTATTAGAAAAGAAAAGAAAAAGTAAGCAGAAAATTATCTGAAGCTCATAAATATTCTGGAACCCTTTTGATATGTTGTTTCGTTTTAACACACTTTCTTTTTTCTTTTTAAGGTTCGTGTTGCGCACTCGCAAGGTAGCTGAAGAACCTTTCCAAAGTAGATTGGTAGCCCTGCGCCCTAGGCAGTAAACATCCGATTGCTTTTCCTTATTACTTGGACCGAAGAGGTAATTCCCGGTGGCTAAATGTCTTCGGCCGTCCTACTCAGATCGCGGATGTGAGTTCTTCTACCAACTTCTGTGACAGCACTAATACACCCGAGAGCACACCAAAGCGTCCTTTCGTCGAGGAATCGATTACTCATTCATCGGTTGCTATCCACAACATCTTGAAGTCTTTTGGAAAAAATAGTGGAAGGTCAGTGAAGGCCCTCACGACACAGAAGGTGTGAGGCCAGAGTTTTCGGTTGGATCGTAGGCTGTTGTAACTTCTCCCGCTTTGCCGGAGTAAACATCGAAGGAGATGTGCGAGCTAAAACATGTACATCTTCTGCAGGACAACACCATACGCTTCTAGTACGAAAATGACATTAATTCAAAGCATGCAGCATAGCTCGATTATTAATTCGGAAGCTATTCGCACCTCATGCCGGCTAGTAATTAGAAGTTACTAGTTAGCTATAATAACTTCTGCATTATACTATTTAGTCCTCTAGTTTGAAGTGCTAAGGAGCGTGCTAATAATCATAGCTAAAAGAGTGCAAGGCTAGGGAGAGGATTAGCATATCTTGGTTGATTAATATTCAACCCACTATATCCTTATAAGTATTATCCTCTTTGCTATCCCCTCTGTTATCCCCTCTGTTATCCCCTCTGTCATTCTCTATATCGTCCTTTCATCGTGTTTAAGGGGATCCTGCTTGTGATGGTTGCGGTACCAACGGCCTCAATGTCGTCAACTTGGCCTGCATGTAGTCCCTGCCACCCCCGAGCAATCTTTTCATCGGATGGTGAGCTCTATGTCGATCTCCAAATACAACGACACCATCTTTCGTGACTGGAGCTTTTGGTACAGGTTTGGTTTTTGTTTTCAACTGTCCGGTCGATATGTGTTGAAGAATCTGACATGACGGGCTTTTCTCCCATATCGATGTATGCCCTGGGCCGTGACACGTATTCCATGGATTGGCAGTACACTGCCACATTGTCTTGCTATCGCCCAGTGGGCAACTGCCTTCCACAATTCCATCGACAGTGCCACCGCTTCGGGCTCTGAAAGCAAGTGCGTCCAGGCAACGCATGTGCGCCGCGAGATAGAATCCATTCTCTGGAAGAGTGGAGCAATTAGAACAGGCGTTTCCAGGTTTGAAGACTGGCATGATTGCCTTTCCGAGGCCAGCGCAGACTCCCATTACATCAACGCTTTTCACAATTTCCTGCCATGAGCCTGCGACTGATCCTGAGACGCATACTTTGCTCAAGGGTGTACCCGTCATGGGTGGTTCGATAATTGACATGAGTTCTGTGGCAAATATGAACCCTCGCTTTGGCTCCTCTCTGATGTTGACGGCTTCCGCAAAGCCTGAGTGGATGCCTCATGGCCATTGCAAGAAGGCTTAGCGAATGGTATCGGATTCGGCGTAGTGTGCTCCGTGCTGGTGTTTTCAAAGTATCTGTGGCAGAGGTGCAGAATCAAACTGAGATATGGCACAAGCCAGGCTTGCTCTGTAGCAGAATCGATTACCAATGCTACCTTTCGTCTGCATTCCGCGAGTGTCGATCTGTAACTATCCGTAGGAGTATATCTTCGGACGTTGGAACGTTTGCTGTATGTTTTCACGCCTTGAAACCCAAGGCTGATGGGAGCAAAACTGAAAGACATCTGCAACGCGCCTTCGTACCCTTCTGAGTGCAGGGTCTCTCGACATTGTTCGCTTCCGCTCCAAGAGATCTGTTCTTGTCTCTCAAGTAATTCGCGGGTACCAAGCATGACGTGCGCGACTTCGAACCATCCGATAAAACACCTGGCTTCTCGAAACTGAGAAGGATGTTGAAGTTTCGTCCATTCTTTTTGAGTTGCCTTGAGCAAAGAGAGTTGTACGAAGCTTGCTGCGGAGTCTTCCATAATCTCGAAATGCCACTGAAAGCTGTCTGCTTCTTTGTTCCAATCAACAGGGATCAGAGCTGTCTTGTACCCAAGTAGAACCAAGCCTCCATTGAGCGAGTAGTAGTTCTCCACAGATGCCAGATCGACCATCATTTCAAACGACATCTCGATGCCCTTACCCCACTGACGACAGAGAGGTCTCCAAGCAACCACGCCACTTTTGAACAACGTTGTCCAGCAAGTGGATTCATCTGACGTATTGGGCGACCATTTCTCCAGAGGATGCAAGTTGAAGCGAAAGTTTGAAAAACCGGTTCCTACCTGCGAAGTGGCCGATCTGAAGATACCCCCATTACTTGTGGATAATTGTGGCGGAATCGGTCTCATGGCTGAACAAATCCAACCAATTGCATCGACCAGGTTGCGTCTCTCATGATTCAGTAGGGATCCCGTGACACAAAAGTCAACAGAGTGCCCGGTAATGTTCGTAATCTCAAATTCCAACCCATCTTCGGTTTGAAGAATATGGGCCTTTTTGGGCTGTGGTCCTCCAGTCCTTTCCGAGGATAGAGCTAGTTCCACTGCCATGCTCACGGCTCGAAGAGCACTACGCCCGATTTCGCGCCACTGGTCAGTGACACCGTCGAGACAGGTAGCACACTGAAAACCATCCTCATTTCCAGTAATGATGATAAAGCTGGACAAGAAGTCCAGAACATTGAATTCCAACGGCTCTGCAGGTAACTCATCGTTGTCCACACATAACTTGGGGATCTCCCACTCGCAAGTAATAGTGATGGCAATGTCATCATAATTCTTATCGTTTTGAGCAGTAGAAGTTTCCTGCGAGATGACCTCTGAATTTATAGCCGTATTGTGAACTTGGCCCTGATCTTGTTCGTTTAGAGCAGGCTTTTTTGGCTTATTTCTGCTGCTAGACAGAGTTTGGTTGTGTCTTCTAGCCTTTGAATCAGAAAGATAAGAACTGTAATTTTCTGAATAGGAACTCAGTTCCCCGCCCCTGTGCACTTGTGGGTAATCATCGTCGAGGCCGAGGTCGAGAAGCTGGGGATAATATGTTTGTTGCAGGTTGCCACTCCGAGGAAAGTAACTGTTGGCTCTGCTTACAGCCGCAGAAGCATTGGCAATGGAGTTGCTCTCCCGATGCGTGTAAGCATGGCTTGGGTACATCTGTGCATATTCGATACGACTCTGACGACTCTGACGTATCTCAGAAGTTTGGGGGCCCGAGACGCTTTTGATCCACGCCATCATAAGCTTTCTTATCGACTTTCAATACATGTTTTACATACCTAGAGTGCCCCCCAAAAGTGCTAGAGGAGCCATGATCTACTGATTGTTGTGAGTGGAAACTGGCCTATCGTGAGGTTCGCGTTAGTGAGAAGCTAGCAACGAGGGCGATGTATAACTAACACTTCCTGTTCTGTTGTTATTGGGGTCCTTTCCCGACTTTGATTCGGATCGGGCGGCATCACGCTCATCGTTCGGGCTGCGATCCTCATCCATCTAGCTCCCAGGATTGTGTGTGCTGTGGGTGGCGTCGTAGTCAAAGCCGTGGTGACTGCTGAAGGACAACACCTATTCACTCTATTCTGTTAGACGTTTGGCTCGCCAGGGGACCCTATAACCTGCTTTAACCTAAACTACTTTGATCTTCATAAGAGATTGGCTCAAATACAGATGGAAGTCTGTATCCACTTCAGCTCAGAGAAGTCTCTCGACTTTCAATTGAGGTTTTGGCCTTGGCGCGAAAATGGAGTCAAATTGTCAGCACAGCCTGAATGGCTGAAAATTGTTGTCACTGCCAAGCTGAAAGTGTGTGGTGGTGTGTCAGCCTTAAATCAGGCTACCTGACACCGGTACGCCGCGGGCTTTCTGCATCCATGTGAACGCCTGCACTCAAGCTTGAACCTATCTGATGCTCACAGTAATCCGTTGTAATTTTGTGGGCAAGGGTCAATCATCCTTTGGTCAATCGGCTCAAGGCATGTTCATTGGCCTTTCTCACTAGTGCCGGCGCCCTCCGGCGGCGACCTTCTTTGCTGACTAGGCCTGCTTACCTCGGGTCACCCAATCAGATTGCTCTTCAGAACAGTCATGGACCTTCTCCGTGTGCAGCTTCAACGCTGTCTCAGTGCTGCCTAAAATTATTAGTGCAACCTCATGAGAGAAATAGAATCAAACATAATTTCTCGCTAATACATGGGGCATTGTCGCGAGGTCATCAATCATGACGACGACGACGACAATAACAACGACGAAGACTACAACTACGACGACGACGGGGACGACAACAACGATAACAACGACAACGACGACAGCGACGACAGTGACAACGACGAAGACAAAGACAGCGGCGAGGGAGACGACCAGCTACTAATTAGAGGCCATGGACCATCGAACAAAATCGGTTGGCACAACGCTAAGCTGGAACACATTCTTATCGCGGACTTCGACATCCAGTTTAACCTGCGCAGTCTTTTCTGAACAACAGCGCCAAAATGCTCACGGTCTCGATGATGTTCTCCGAGTCGTTAGCGCTCTTAACCTACGACGATACCCGCAAGAGGAGCTCACTGAGGAGGAAGTACTAGGTGAAGGCGAGACCTACGTCGTGAAGAGATGTGCGGTCAAGGGAGGCGACTGTGTCGCCGTCAAGCAGCTTAAGATCAACGATGTATCTGATGACAAGCTATTCCGCCGTAGACTGGGCTCGGTCATTTTCGAGGCTCAGATTATGAGACATCCTCCACTGAGAGCTCACCCTAACCTCCCATCAGCACTCGGATATGGATGGAGCCTTCGCGGAGCATCAGTCATTCCCTACCTCGTCGTCGAATACGCACCTCTTGGGACACTAAGAGAGTACATCAAAACAGCCAAGCCTCGTCTTGCCGACGTAGAGATTCTGCTTGGCGACGTATCTTCGGCCTTGTCGGCGCTGCATACATGTGGCATAGTCCATGGCGATGTCAAGTTGGATAATGCACTGGTCTTCCCGTCCTGGGATCGCCCAACCAAGGCTCTTGCGAAGATAACAGACTTCGGTCACGCAATTATCTTGAATGACACGGCAGGCAGCCAGAGTGACGATGACGAGATCATTAAGTACGGGGGCACTCTTCTGTAAGTCGCACACGGTCATGATTCGGTGCCTGGCTTATAATGGTAATCACAGTTACAACGCTCCTGAGGTCAAGACGCAGGATCTTTTCCCAATAGAACGCAGAGACCTGTTGAAATGCGACATTTGGGCTTTTGGCCTTATGGTGTGGGAAGCCTGCTTGGGCGGCCAGGAGTACACAACTTGGCTCGCAAATCACGGGCATAAACATGTCGAAACGATAGATCGAACTCATATCGATCCATCGAAACTCCCGGACTACGCCAAGCAATGCATGCCCGCCAAACAACTGGGGACCGCCATGTTCATCCGAATCGTTCTCCACAGGACTATCCAAGCAGATCCATCGAAACGAGCTTCAAGCGTAAGGGATCTACCGCTCTACACCAGGTGGACGTGAGTCTTCTAGCCAACGACTTGGGTATTTCTGGCCGCTGATGTATCTAGTGCCGGGGATCTACGCGGCCTTGAAGCTGACTTAGCACTACACTTTGACGTCCCTACTCCAACATACGAGGTAAGCATTCCTGAGCTTTGGTATCTAGAAGGGTGCTTCTTCCTGAGTGGACTACCATCAGTTCTAATGTCCCCATTTGTCTTGTGTTCCTTGCAATTGTCCCTTTTGCCTTTTCTGTCGTTCTTCGTCCCTGCCGTCGTTCTTGTCGTCTCTGTTATCCTTGTAGTCCCTATTGACCTTATCATCTCTGTCGTCGTCCGTCTCGTCCCTGCTCGCCAGGGCAGGGAGAGATATACGCTCACATAGAGCATACAACCCATCCGAATCCGAATCTTGGCCATAAATATGAAGCACATATCTAACTCTTCTCAAGATGTTCCGTCTAGACACAGGCAAAGAGGTTCTCTGGGATCACCAACAGCAAATATTCAAGGGACTTCAACAGACTCACTCCAGCAACCAGGCGAAGGAGAAAGGTCCAATAAGCTGGCAAATTGCGCTTTGCTACTACTTGGGGTTTGGAACAGAGCGAGACTTACAAGAGTCACACAAATTTGCGAAGACCGCTCGCTCTGAAGGTCACCCTATTGCCGCAGTCTTTGGTGATCTATTTGAGTCCGAGACAGACGCGGTCATGGAGCCGAGAGACGAATCGTATGTCACAAAACTCTCGGCGTTGGTGCGAGCGCAAGGAGCCTTGGCGGAGGAAATGCCCGCCCTGGCCAAGGCATTTTTTGATGGGGATCCAGCAACCGCCATGAATCTCCTGTCCGAGGGAGCATCCTTAGCCTCTTGCACTTCTGACGGATGCGGTCCATTTCATTGGTTATTCATGGTTCGGGACCCAGCCGCTTTTGAAGACATTACCGAAAAGCTTTCAGGAGAGCTGGCACAGCGTCTAGTCAATGTCCCCGCAAGTACAATTCGCGAAGCTCATCTACAATGGCCTACCCAGCTGCTGGGAACTCCACTCGCATTCAGCATATCAGTCAACTGCCTCCCAGCGGTCAAGGTACTCCTCGCCTTAGGTGCAAGCCCGTTCGCCCATGTCTACAACGAGTCTCAATACCCACCAGAAGACTCCCGTTCCCAATGGGCAGCCCTCCACGTCGCAGCGAAGTATCATTGCAGCGATATCTTGCGTGAACTCATGCGAAGTTCTGAGTCTCAGAACTGGGAAGGCCTCGGGCTACTCGGTTGCGTTCTTGGTCTCTCCACGCCCCTCGAGCGGCTTGCCATGCACGGTTCGAGTCGCGCTAGTAGGCTAGACGAGACGATCATGCTCATCAAAGACAAACAGTCTCTGAATATGCATGATTCAGATGGAAGGACAGCCATTATGGAGGCCATTGACTTGCAGGATGCGGATGTTGTTGCAGCTCTTCTGCGAGCTGAACCTGGACTTGCAAAGACACCGCTTCGCTCGCCGCACGACCCCAACATTCTCACCTATCCCCTCCACTTTGCTTGTCAACTAGCGGCAAGACGGAATGTTGCTGATGCCCTCTTGATTCCCAAGCTCATCGAGTCGCAAACTCGAGATCTTCAGCCCTCCACAACGCCGTCTCGAGACCATCTAGGAAGAACTGTGCTCCACCTCGCAGTGACTGGAGCCTCAGGTCTCATCACCAAATGGATCCTAGAGAGCCGTCCCGGGCTACTTCATGTAGAGGATAAATGGGGTCGAGCGCCTCTCCATTACTGCGCGTCTTCGGCCAACTGCGATTTGCTTCTAGAAAAGGGAGTAAATATTGACCACACCGATAAGGAAGGACTTTCGCCCCTCCACAGAGCTTGTCTCATGGGCGCTTGTGCAATTACAGAGGGTCTTCTAAAGAAATCGCCGATATTGGATCTAAGGAACAATGTGTACGGGACGCCGTTGCATTGTGCGGTTATTAGCGGATCTGCCGACGTTGTCAACGGGCTTCTCGACGCAGGCGCGCCGATCAACGCGACTGACTTGCGGGGCAATACAGCCGTCCATATCGCTGCCAAGTTAAACCGTTACAGTATTATGCGTAGCCTTCTGGCGAGGGGCGCCGATGTCACTTTGCTCAACTTGAATGGGCAAGATGCGAAGGCTGTTGCTCTTCGTGCAGCAAGTACTGGCAATATTGGCATTCTTAGCATTCTTCGAGACACCCAAGTAGCTAACAAAGGAGACGTTGATTTAGAATTTGGTCAGGAAGATACTGTCCTTCTTGATCGAGAGGGTCAAATTAGAGAGGCACTCGCTCCTGATTTTCTCTGGGATGAAACGTCACTTTCTCTCCAGCAGGCGTACGACACCCTCGACCTTCCGAATAATGCAAAACAGGAACAGGCAGGCGTGAGAGAGGAGACGTATGACGAACGGGTAGAGAGACTACAAAGCCTCGATCAAGCCATTGGAATGATCATCGGACACCATTTCTCTGGTATCCCTCATCATCATTGGGCTAAGAAAGCCGTCGTCAACATCATTTCCATATTCTTCGACGAAATCCTTTGGCAACCTGGTACAATCAACCGAGGAATCGAGATTGTGGCGCGGGCAGCCTACGACTTGGCAACGGTGATGCACTTCTACTACGATGAATCATGGGGAATCCACCACCGCGTGGAGGCATGGGCAGGATACCTCGTCTCACAGAATGGAATCGGGGTACCGCTGCGGCTTGAGGCCATCAGAGTGTATCCCAAAGGTGTCCACCCTCGGCGAAAGACCTATGAGTCATCACAGTACGGCATGATTTCAATCACCAGCAAGGATGATCTCCTTTATGGCTTTGAAGCTAAAATACTCTCTGAGCAAGATCGCCTCGAAGCTGTCTGGAAGTACATGGAAGAAAACGACCCTTCATCATTACCCCTTGACGGAGATGGAAACCCTACTTTCAAAGACAAAGACGAAGATGGCAAGCCCGTCCGTCTTGCAGACGGAATGACTACGAGGCTTCTACGGCTACCTCCTGTCTTCGCGTTTATGGAACAGAAGTTTCCGGTTGCTAAGGTTGAGAAACCTGTTCCGCGCGTCTTCATACCAGAGAAAGAGATCGATGGTTTGGTACTCCTTGATCCTGGGAATCTTTTGCGGCAAGAAACAAACGACGAAGAGCTTGGTAATGAAAAGACAATCGCCGAGCAGACCGGGGCTGAGACAAGTATGATAGTCGACTCGGAGACCAAGGACGATAAAGATGATAGTGAGAAGGATGATAAAGACGACGAGGACGAAAAGAACGAAAGCGACGATGAGAACTGTAGCGACAGTCAGGAAAGCGGAAGCGAGTCACACCTGACGATGCAAGATCAACCGGACTACAGACCCAAATATGAGCCATGCCAGCAAAGCTCGACTTGGTGTAGTCATCTGGAGCAGGCAATCGACTGTATGGTCACTCTTTTCGTCGATAGGAAACCGCGGGAAGTGTTTCCTGCGAGACAGAAGTCAGACATCCAGGCCATGGTGCGGTGGGAAATGAAGACATGGGAGATGGTTATGCCACAGTTTGGAGTCACTCGTTACACATCAACGCTCGAACAGTATTTTCCGCAGCTTTCAGGACAGTCATGGCGGGAAAGCGCGTCTCGTTCCTATCTGGCTTGGAAAGAGAGGTCAAGCCCTGTATTTCGGGATTCGGTCGGAGACGAGCACTGGAACTCTGCAGCAAAGGCGGCTCGGGATGAGTTCTACATCAACTTGTACGCGGCTTGTCACCGCAAGTTGAAGGAAACGTCGAATGAGGGCTTGGAAGCCGATTCAGACAGCAACGAGAACTTATAAGAGGGTTTCGAGACAGCCAAAACCTGGGAACCAACCCAGAAAGCACATGGCAGACACCGCGCCCAGAGTCAGCTGCAGCCTATGACAGCCCACATTGTCTCTTAGTCTCGTATTTGTACAATCTTTACTAGCTAGCTCAATGTCAACATTCTCCTCGGAATCTCGGAGCCGAGATCCCCGCATCAACGTCGTGCGCGATCTGGGGTCGGTGGGGTGAGCTTTCCCCGCTTCCCCACGATGACCTCTGGCGCGCCAATCATGGCCTTCAATCATCTTGACTTGGCTTTGAAAAGGTGACATCCCTTGGCAAGTGGCTTGCCCATGATGCCATGCACCATGACAGGGTCACTTTCTGCACTCAGAAGGATCAGAAGACACTAGCGAGTCCATTCACGTTGACCCGGGCACCATGGCATCGTCATTTTCCGTCTTGTCGGTACAATCTTGTCCGTCCGTGGCAACATACAGCCATGATATAAGAGCGCTATGAGGTGACTCCATGCGCTTGAACAGTCTTTCCATGTCTAAGGTTTCTCTTCCGTCCTCGAAACACAGTAGCCTGTCATCATGGGTCTTCTCTGGAGTGCCACGGCCTTGCTCGCCGCTCGCGCAGCCCACGCTCTTCCGGCAAGCTCGACTTCGAGCGCTTCAACCCTGAACGTGCCGAGAACAGCTGCAGGAGCTTCAATCCCTCACACCAACTCATTCGCCTCATTCTCGTTTGAGCCCGCCTTCTGGGTCGAGTTCTTTGGCAACTCCACGACCCCGAACAACCTCACCTTTGGGCTCCTCGAGCGTATCCACGAACATGGAGGACACCCCGTCATCCGTCCCGGCGGCATCACCATGGACAGCATGATCTTCGATCCGGAAGGCCCCGACTCAGTCCGGACTACCAGCCCCGAAGGCGGCGTGTGGCGGACGACGGTCGGTCCGAACTACTACAAGAGCTGGGACAACTTCCCCGAGGGCACGAAGTTCATCTCGACACTTAACTTCGGCAACGAGAGCTTGGACATTGCGAGGGACCTCGCGGTAGCTTCTACAAAGTACCAGGGCGATAAAATCTCGTACTTTGAGCTGGGCAACGAGCCGACGAACTACGCCTCCACGCGCTGGAACTATTCAACGCAAGCGTACGTCGACCAGTGGAAGGAGTACACCCACGCCATCGACGCCGCCGTCAACGAGACCGGCACCAACAACCTCACCAGCGAGCGCTGGTGGGCGTCCTCCGCGACCACCGACGACTCCGGCCTCGAGGTCCGGCCGATCGCCCTCATCCCAGCCGGCGTCGACTCGGAGCACCAGGTCGGCGTCTACTCGATCCACTCGTACCCCTTCTCGACCTGCGACCCGGCCCGCAACGTGCGCGCCACGATCGAGAACATCCTCAACCACACGGAGCTCGTGCGCTACTGCGACGAGGAGATCTACCCCTCCGCCCGCGCGGCGCTCGACGTCGGCAAGAGCTGGAACATTGGCGAGTTTAACTCCGTCTCGTGCTCCGGCAAGCCCAACGTCACCGACACCTTCGCGCAAGCCCTCTGGGTCGTTGACAGCGAACTCATCTACGCCACCCGCAACGCCTCCGCGACGCACCTCCACATGGGCGCCACGCTGGTGCTCCAGTCCAGCGACCAGAGCAACACCCCCGGCGAGAACGGCAGCCCTGGGTACAGCACGTACTCGATGCTCTACCCGCGCGACAGCCTCAAGCGTGGTCCGGCCCGAGCGCTGCCGTCGTTCCTTGCCCAGCTGTTCATGGCCGAGGCGTTCGCCGTCGAGGGGACCCAGGTCCGCGCTCTCGAGGCGCCTTCTGGCGTCGACTCCGAGAGCTTCGCCGCTTATGCCTTCTACGTTGACGGCGCCATCTCCAAGATTGCCCTCGTCAACTTGAAGCCTTACTACGCCAACTCTACCTCCGACTTCACTGTCAGCGTTGATCTGACTTCTCTTGCGGATGCTGCAAAGGGGGAGAGCATCTATGCGAAGCGCATGACGGCGCCCTATGTGAACACCGGCGACACCAACCTGGCAACATTCGGTGGCCAGTCATTCCCTCAAGGTCAGCCTGTAGGAGATATGGTTATCGAGAAAGTCGACGGTACGGTGGATGTCAGGGGTAGCGAGGCACTCTTGGTGTTCTTCGACGAGAATGTAGTCTACGGACTGTAGAGCTATGACCAGGAAAACACCACTGTAGATCAAATTGAAGACTCTCATGATCAAAATATCCGAACCGTCCACGAGTTTCCTGTAATTTCAACTTCGGGGCGAATCCTGATGTCATCTAGTCGGCTCCTGGCTTTAATGGTGGCGTCGAACCGAAAGAGTCGCTAAAACAGAGACGAAATTTTCCGACAATCAACCTCGCAAACCCTTCATACCTTCCTGATTTCCAACTGCTCACGGCGCCCTTCGCAGAGCGCAGACTTTCACTTTAAGATCTGAAACCTATTGGATATTACCAAGCCTTTCTGGCCGGTTGTTTTTCCTTGAGTACAACTGCGCCATGGAGCAAAGGCCACATCAATCAACCATGCCGCCTAAGAGACGCTTCCCTGCTCCTCAATGCAGTTAGCAAAAGCCACTTTGCGCTGTGTGTCTCGTTTCTGTCGCAGCGTCTTCGCAGAATGGCTCGTCTATGCCCTGCTATTCTATGCGACAACAGGTGTGGTCACCTTCGTCGTCTTTCTTCCTATAGACTGTGTTATCGGTCTGTCTCGTGGAGACTTCAGCAGCGGTCACTTCGTCGACTTCCAGCATTTCGCCTTCCTTATTCCTTTCAACAACTTCATGTTTAGCGCCGTCCCTCTGTCGACCAGGGTTCTTCTTGTCGCACTATGGACGATTACAGCGCGGCCTGCTCTCGCTCTCGCCGGCTGCATCGTTCGAAAGCAACTGCCCGCCTATACGTATCCCTCTGAACAGTATCCTCCAATACGTTGGCTTTTCGAGATCATTTGCTCGTTTGCCAACCGACACCACAAACTTGTGCCTGATATAGAGCTCTATGCTCGGCAGATTCTACGCATGCTAGGCGTCCGAGTTCCATCAGGCTCACATCAGCTGGGAACAATAACACCAGGAGAGCATGACGAGCTTCGCACGTTCGCACGATTGTACTACGAGGTTGTGACCCAGTTCTCTGACAGAAGATCCAAAGAGCCCGAGCTTTCCTGTCTACCTTTTAAGTTGGTAGAAGAAGCACACTACGTGTGTGCACTTGAAGTTCTCCGCCAAGAACCTGTCCCTTCGGCAGGATGCAGTGATAAACGCACCCCATTCTTGTGCGGAACTGCTCACTTTGCGTCACTCAAGAATACGGCAACCACCTGGACATGTCCGTATTGGGAGTATGTGCGCTCAGAGGCTAAGATTTTCTCAGTTGTGTATATTGCAATTATATTTTACTGGATATTCAGGCTTTCAGGAGACTGCTGTGCATTTCTGTTACCTCACACACTTGACGGGAATGGGGTATCTTCGGCTAAGGAGTGGTACGGCAGGCACATAGCACCGCCTGCGATGGATTGCAAAGGTCTCAGTCAAGCCTTTGCGTCGGGGCAGGAGCCGCGGGATTCCAAATAAACGGAGCGTGAACATTTCTAGTAGATCACAAGCTGTTTAAGAGCCATTGTCTAGAAGAAGCATGTGAATTGCTGCTGAACAGGACTTTGGTCCATTTATTCTGGAATATTCAACCCGTACATTCACTCCCGGCAACGAATTTCTCTCCACCTCCTTTCAAATCTTCTGAATTTCCCATAATGCTGTTCCCCAGCAGTAACCAGATTTTATCCAAGACTATACCGGTAGGTCAGTCGCTGTTCATGCTTGAGAGACAAGGTTTGATCATACGTACTCAAAATGTATCCCAAGGTGGTCTTGTTGTAATTTAATCTTTCATTGTGTTCATCCGATATCCGGGCCTTCGAAGATAACTAATTTGTTGCGCGGTGCCTCTGGAGATTGGAGAGTGTTGCCTAGAGGCTGAAGCGTCGGCCTTGGACAGTGTCGGGCTGAGGAGGGATGTGGTATTTCATCGCCGTCGACAATTGTCGTTTATCATGTTTCCATGTGTATTGCGCTTGTGGGTGTATAAAGAGCAATGATTCGCTGTCTTTGAGCCAGGAGTTGGACGCATTTTGGTAGTGGTTCATCACCAGGGTGTGCCAAGGTCTGACACGCCGAGCAGAAGCAACGAGGTAGTTGTCCGTCATGATGCGTGAGAATTGCCGCAAGATCCAAGGTCAGGGAAGCTGAGCAGAACAGCGAGACCCAAAATGTTGTGGTAGCTGGGTGGTTGCGGCTGAGGCCGGGTAGCTGAGGTCAGGGGGGTGGTGAAGTCGTTGCCGGCGTTCCGGGGGTATCTGAAGACATAGCCACAAGAGGGCGGGTAGACTGCGTCGCCGCGGACGTTATATTGGGATGAAGTAGGGAGTGAAGCTGTTGGGAGATATTCAGGAAAGTCGAGCCGAACAACGAGATCCAAGACATTGTCGAAGTAGTGCATCCTGTTGTGGGAGAGATGCTGGGAGAGCCGGCGTCACGCACCCATGATGTCTGCGAAGTGTATTAGCACTAAACGAGCAAAGCAGTCGCTCCACCTACGTCGATATTTTTTATCGCTGTCGTCACTATTGTCCTTGTCGTTCCTGACTGCTGACCAGCATGTTGTGGGATAGAGGAGGTCGAGAAAGCGCCGTGGCCGAGGAACTGAGCGAGACGGGAACGACACGAACCGCCGCCCATGATGTCTTTGACATGCGTTAGTACTTGGCGGGCAAATGAGTTGCTTGACTTACGTCGATATTTTTTTTTTTGACCTCCTGTCCACCGAGTGACGACACCCCTCTCTGCTTTTGTCAAGACAAATCCGCGCAAAGTTGGGTCACCGTCCACTTCGCAACGCTAGGCGATTGCTTCATCGATCATACAGCTCGCAGCGAGCCATCGCCCTCCGGCACGCCGCCGAACCCAAGGACCCAACGGCGAAGTCCATCGGGTATATGACAGAACGCTTTGACAACCCGCCCTTCTTCGTACCCGCATATCGGCTCGTCTTGACTGTCCAGGTACAGCCTCATCAACAAGTTCCCCAGTTCCCACTTCATTGCAAGGACCGCGAAGTCCAAGGAAAGCTCCAGATGGAACACGAGCCAGGAACTGAAGGAAGACTTGTCTCCGCTGACGCGACTGGCCAAGACAGAAACCCCCGTAATGGGTAAAGTCCATGCGGTACAAAAACAGAGGAACACACCCATGCCGGTGGCCAGGCGAGAAATCTTTGAAAGTTGAGCCATGGCGGTTTAGGATGTCGTGAAGAAGAAAAGAAGAACAGGAAAGACTCCCACCGACCAGCAAGAATTTTGTGCCCCTTGGTCTCCCATTTCTCTTGCCGCGGAAGTCACCACGGGGGACTTCTTTCCTCAATGGCAGGCACGCCTTCTTACCTGGGTCAACTTTGAACGTCGAGGGAAGGTGACCCAATGACTGCCAGTATAGTACCTTCACGCTTCGTTGGCCGGTCTTTCCTAGCATTTTCGAGGCTCGGGAGCTCTGCCAGATTCAGCAGCAGCCGGCGGACTGGCTTAAAAATCTGAGCCACGCTTCCATGTATGATCCAATGCCGAAAAGATGCCCGGCGGGTCTCTAATACACGAGGTACGCTCGGGTTACTAACTATGGAACTGGATTCCATGTGCTTGCTCATGGGATTTAGATACGAATCCCAACGACATCGACATTCTCGATCCGCTCCCTCCGAACTTGTATGCTGAGGACAACACAGGTATTAGTCCCATTTATATCGGCCTGGGATAAGAAAACACAGACCTATTCGATTTAGCCTTGATTCCTGCCCATAAGAACACGAAGCTCCCGTTCCTCCGCGATCTAGAGATCGAGCAGGTACCATGAGGTAGTGTCAATTACCCAGTCTATCTAACATACGGCACCGCCCATTCAATAACGAGAAGAAGAACAAAAGAATAAGAATTCAAGCTGAGATCGAAGCTGTCATAGTAATGTGGCACTACAGTCCACAGAACAGACTGGGGTCGTAGGTAAACGAAGATAAAGATAGCACTGATTCATGGCCCTGCCATTGTTTCTTTAGGGTCGGCGCTGCATTTGTCGCCGCGCTTGTTCACTGTATTCTCTGCTTCCAAGGTCTGCGCAGGTACGTCCCCTTTTTCGTTCAATAGGTACATTAACAATTTCACATTGGTCAAGAACAGCAGCCAGTAGCAGACAGTATATGATAACGACGAGGACGACAACAACAAGAACAACGACAACAACGACGGCGGCGACGACGACGACGACGATGACGACGACGACAACAACAATAGCAATAACAACGACAATAGCAACGATAGAAACGATGATAGCCTCACTTAAGGAATTGATAGCGCAATAGATATCACGGGCAGGCGACAAACTGTAGTGCGCTTCATAATAACCGCTCTGGGCCTGCAATCAGATAGTTATGTTTATACCTCTAAACCCCGCCCTATCTATGCGATAAACTCCATGCAACATTGGAGGTTTGAGCTCCCGTACCAAACTAATGACTCTTCACCTTTCTAAGGGGAGCAGTGACCGAGAACGAGACGATGCTATACTCCTTTCTCTCAGCATCCCTCTCCGCCTCCTGTTTGTCCGCCAACTTCTTCTCTTCCGCGGCCTTCTCCTCCTCAATCTTCCGCTTCGCTTCCTCCTCGGCCTTGCGCTTCTTCTCATCCTTCTCGTCATCCTTGATCTCCTTGAGAACGTTACCGTTGCCGTCGAGCTCAACGACAACGTCCCGAGTGTCCAGGCTTCCGTCCTCGGTGTACATCCACATCTCCTTGAGTTCGCCACGAACCAAGCCCGTGAGCCAGAGGGAGCCGAGGACACCGGGGACGAGGTACAGAAGGGCGGGTTGGCCGTGCTTGAAGATGGTCAACATGGCGAGTGTGAAGAGCATGCCGAGGGCGTAGCCGATCAAGGAAGCGTTGAAGTAAGTCTTGTTGAATGTCGAACCGCGGACAGTCGGCGCCACCTCCTTGTCGCCCTTGAGAAGGCCACTCCACGTAGAGGACCAGAACCAGTCGCCCCAGCAGCCAGTGATGTCGATCCAGGGAGCCTTCTCAGCAACGTGCTGAGTCTCGCTGACGGTGACGACGTCG